CTAACCAGATGGCTGACGGTTCAAACCCACCAGCCACTCCTCGGAAGGAAGGTTGGGCAATCCTACTTCCATAGTGATACTGCCTCGGAAACCCAAGGAGGGGTCGCTATGAGTCGGGGCCGACTCGACGGCACTTAACAACAACAACAACTTTTTGGGAGCTCTGGTAGCATAGTGCCTAAGGCACTTGACTGCTAACCAGAAAGCTGGTGGTTCAAACCCACCAGCCACTCCTTGGAAGGAAAGTTGGGCAATCTACTTCCATAGTGACACTGCCTTGGAAGCCCAAGGAGGGGTTGCTATGAGTCGGGTCCAACTCAATGGCAAACAACAACAACAACAACAACTAACTTTTCAAGTTAGCATTTGGAAGTGACTGAGAAAACTAAACATTTTTCTCTTTCCTTACAAAGAACCCAAATTGAGTTTTTAAATATTCATAGTAGACTAATTTTACAGTTGAACAATAAATGTTTGCACCTACATGTCAGCTTTGGTTGAGAAAAAGTAGAGAGAAAATCAGTCTTCTAAATTATATTCACAAGAAAATGCACAATGCCACATTAACGATGAGTCAGATTCAAATGTAAAGCTAATTAGTGCTAACTGGTTGTTGATAAATAACTTGAGGAGGTGAAGTATAGAGAAGTTATACAAATTATTAGTCATTAAACCATGTGGTTGTTGTTGTTAGGTGCCTTCAAGTCAGTTCCAACTCATAACCAAACTATGTACAACAGAATGAAGCATTGCCTACTCTTGCCTCAGTCTCACATTTGTTACCATGCTTGAAGAAAACTTGAACCACTTACTGATGAAGATCAAAGACTACAGCCCCAACATAAACAAAATAAATCCTCACAACTGGACCTGTAAGCATCTTCATGGTAAATAGAGAAAAGACTGAAGTTATCAAGGAGTTCATTTTACTTTAATTAGCAATCAACATCTATGTAAGCTACAGTCAAGAAATTAAACTGACGTATCACCCTGGGCAAATCTGCTGCAAAGGACCTCATTAAAATGTTAAAGAGCAAAGGCTGACATCTTTGAAAACTAAGGTGAGTATGACTCAAACTATGGTATTTTCAATAGCCTCATAAAAGTATGAAAGCTGGACAATGAATAAGGAAGACCTCAGAAGAATTGATGCATTTGAATTATGGTATTGGTGAAGAATATTGAATATACCATGGACTGCTAGAAGAATGAAGAAATCTGTCTTGTGGATGTACAGCTCCTTAGAAGCAAGATATATCCTGAAATACAATGCTGTCAGTGACAGGATAATATCTATATGCTTACAGGGAAGACCAGTGAATACTACTGCTATTCAAATTTAAGCATTAAAGCCAAAGATGAAGAAAGAAGAGATTTTTACCAACTTCTGTAGTCTGAAATTGACCAAACATGCAATCAAGACGCATTGTTTATTATTGGTGATTGAAATGTGAAAGTTGGACACAAAGAAACAGCATCAGCAGTTAGAAAATACGGCCTTGGTGACAGAAATTATGCCAGAGATCACATAATAGAATTTTGCAGGGCCAATGATTTATTCATTGCAAATAACTTTTTTCAACAACATAAACCATGCCTACACACATGGACCTTGCCGGTTGGAATACACAGGAATCAGATCCACTACAGCTGTAGAAAGAGGCTATGGAGAAACTCGGTATTTTTAGTCAAAATAAGGCCAAGAGCTGAGTGTGGAAGAGACCATAAATTAATTGCTCATATGCATGTTCAAGTGGAAGCTGAAGACAATTAAAACAAATCTGTGAGAGCCAAAATACGACCTTGATTATATCCTGCCTGAAATTAGAGACCATCTGAAGAATAGATTTGACTCATTGAACACTGATGACCAAAGACCGGATGAGTTGTCAGATGAGATCAAGAACATAATACAGAAAGACAGCAAAAGGTCATTAAAATAAACAGAACAGGAAAGGAAGAAAAGATTGAAATTGATGTCATAGGAGACTCTGAAATTTGTTCTTGAAAGGAGAATAGCTAAAGCAAATGTAAGAAATAACAAAAGAACTAAACAGAATATTTCAAAGGGCAGTTCAGGAAGACAAAGTAAAGTATTATAATGAAATATGCAAAGACCTGGAGTTAGAAAACCAAAAGGGAAGACCACGCTTGGCATTTCTTAAGCTGAAAGAACTGAAGAAAAAATTCAAGGCTTAAGTTGCAATGTTGAAGGATTGATTGTAGGTCAAAATATTGAATGATACAGGAAGCATCAGAAGAAAATGGAAGGAATACAGAGTCACTGTACCCAAAAGAATTGGTTATGTTCAACTATATTAGAAGGTAGCATATGATCAAGAAGCAATGATATTGAAGAAGTCCAAACCATACTGAAGAAATTGGCATAAAACAAGTCTCCAGGAAATGACAGAATACCCACTGAGATGTTTCAACAAATAGATTCAGTGCTGGGGGTGTTTCCTCATTTATGCTAAGAAATTTGGAAGACAACTACATGGCTAACTGACTGAAAAAGATCAATATTTCTGCCCCTTCCAAAGAAAGGTGATCCAAGAGAATATGAAATTTTTTGAGCAATATAATTAATACCACATGCAAGTAAAATTTTGCTGAAGATAATTTAAAAATGGTTACAGTAGTATATTGATAGAGAACTTCCAGAAATGCAAACTGGATTCAGAAGACGATGTGGAACAAGAGATATCATTACTGATGTCAGATGGAACTTGGCTGAAAGCAAATACCAGAAAGATGTTTACCTGTGTTTCATTGACAATGCAAGGACATTCAAATGTGTGGATTATAATAAATTATGGATAGTGTTACAAAGAATGGGAATTCCATAACACTTAATGGTGCTTATGAGGAACCTGTACATAGAACAGGCAGCTGCCATTTGAATTGAATAAGGAGATACTGCATGGTGTAAAATCAGGAAGGCTATATGTCAGGATTGTATCCTTCCAACACATTTATTTAATCTGTATGCTGAGCAAATAACATGAGAAGCTGGACTATATGAAGAAGAATGTGGCATCAGGATTGGAAGAAGACTCATTAGCAACCTGTGATATGCAGATGATACACCCTTATTCTGAAAGTGAAGACAACATGAAGCACTTACTGATGATCAGACTACAGTCTTCGGTATGGATTATACCTCAACATAAACAAAACAAAAATCCTCACAACTGGATCAATAAGCAATGTCATGAAAAATGGAGACAAGATTGAATTTGTCAGAGATTTCCTTTGGCTTGGCTCTATAATCAGCACCAATGGAAATAGCAGTCACAAAATCAGCCATCTTACTACACTGGGCAAATCTGCTGCAAAAGAACTCTTTAAAGTGTTGAACAGCAAAGATGTCACTTTGAAGACTAAGGTTTACTTAACCTAAGCCACGGTATTTGCAATTGCCTCATATGCATGTGAAAGCTGGACAATGAATAAGATAGTCCAAAGAAGAGTTAATGCCTTTGCACTGTGGTGTTGGTGAAGAATACTGAAAATGCCACAGACAGCCAGAAAGAACAAATCTGTCCTGGAAGAAGTGCAGCCAGAATGCTCCTTAGTAGCCACAATGGCCAGACTTCATCTCACTATTTTGATCATATTGTCCAAGAGGATAATTCCCTGGAGGAGGATATCATGCTTGGTAAAATAGTTGTTGTTGTTGTTATGTACCGTCGAGTCAGACCTGACTCATAGTGACCCCTCCTTGGGTTTCCGAGGCAGTATCACTACAGAAGTAGATTGCCCAACCTTCATTCTGAGGAGTGGCTGGTGGGTTTGAACTGCCAGCCTTCTGGTTAGCAGTCAAGTGCCTTAGGCACTAAGGGGAAGTCCCTCAATGACATGGATTGACACAGTGGCTCCAATGATGGGATGAAGCATAGCAAGGATTGTGAGGATGGTGCAGGACCAGGTGGCATTTCATTCTGCTGCACATAGATAGGGTCACTGTGAGTTGGCACTGACTCGATGGCACCTAACAAAAGCAACAACAAGACAACCCCATGTGTGCCGAGTAGAACTTTTAAAGTTGTAGGCTTTCAAAGACTGTAACCTTTCAGGAGGTGATCTCCAGGTCTTCTGAGGTGCCTATAGGCAGATTTGAAGGGCAAAGTTTTTGCTGGTAGTGGAGGGCTTAACTGTTGGTGCAACTCAAAGGCTCCAATTAACTACTTACTGACTGAGCATCATGGAATGGATCTGCACAGAGCTTTAGGACCTCAGTTACTGGTTTAAGTAACTCCACACCCCTGGTAGGAGGGTGTGTTGGATGACTTGGGGTCCACTTGTATGGTATTCAGCATTCAGCATTACAGCCAAAAAAAGTGAATTGTGCTGACAAGGAAGTCATGACGTGCTCATAATTAATGCTGCCATTGCCACTAGCTCCTTTATCCTGTTGCACTTTCCTCAAGGAAACAATTGGCAATGCCAGCAGAGAGGTTTAGCTATGATACCAGAGGGATCATCTCCATATCATAAATATGGAATAAGAAAGGAAACTGTGGAAAAGAAGGGTTCATTATCACTGTATTTTAGCATTTATGTTCATTATCATCTTATCAGAATATGTTACCAGAGGACAAGGAACTAGCCTTATACATTTTGTTTATCTCTCAAATCAGTTGATAAGTTGCCTATTACATAGAAGACAATCACATTTGTTTATGCATTGGCTGATTGACAGTAGGACACAGGAAGAAGAATGTGCACTCTGCCCCATATGATACATGCTGGACAAGATTAAAAGAACTAGAAATGTTTTCTGAAGTCAAGTAGGAGCATACACATATGGACACAGAGGACAAAGCCACTCATCTTGAATTTGTATGGAATTTAAAATATCCACTTGTAGCCAATTCTGTTTCTTAACATACAGAAAATTGATCTCAATATTAATGCTTTTAAAGTAGTGGTTAAAGAATCCTACATAGGTAATACATACAGATCAACTTGCTCTTCTTTCACATTTTCTCTTAAAGGCAGAAATGAACCGTTTCCAAGATACAAAGAGACTTCTTCAAGATTATTACAGAGCAATGGAAAACAAAATCCCCATAGAAGACAATAAGAAATTTATTCGAGTCCCATTGGTCCAATTGGATGGAAAAGACATTTCAGAAAGCCAAATTAAGTAAGTTTTCATTTGCTATTGTATCTGGGATTAGAAAACTTGATGGAGTCCCAGCTCTCAATAATTGGCGACTTATAATATTACTATTATAAGATCTCTAAAAAAAAAAAAAAAAAAAAAAAGGAAAGAACTCACTGCCATTCAGTTGATGCTGACTCATAGTGACCCCCATTGAGTTTCCAAGGCAGTAAATCTTTATGGAAGTAGACTGCCCCATCTTCTTTCTGCAGAACAACTGGTAGTTTTGAACTGCCAACCTTCTGGTTAGCAGGCAAATGCCTTAGGCACTGCACCAAGGTCTCTAGACAGTCAAATGGTTTGAACTCGACTGTGCAAAGGCTATAACTTTTCCTAAGCCTGTCTTCCAAGTCACCCCTGGGTGCGTTCAAACTGCCAACCTTTTGTCTAGTAGTTAAGCACTTAACTATTTGTGCCACACAGGTACCATAGAAAAAAAGGCCTGGAGACCTGCTTTTGCTAAAATTACAGCCAAGAAAACCCTATGGAGCAGTTCTGCTCTGTGACACGTGGGGTCACTACAAGTCAAGATCAACATGATGGCAACTAAGAACAACCATTATTATTATAGCACAATATAACAATAAGCTAGTGTTACTTTCATGTAGTATTTTAATTGTGAATATTGCATGTTTTTGCTTTGCTTTGTTTTACCTTTCCTTATTCCAGAAAAGGATTTGAGATAGCTTAAAGGTAATAAGGTTAAGCTGTGGTCTTCTCTCCTAGCTTCTTCAATCTAGTTCCATCGTGTCCCTGTTAGACTGATGTGCACACAACAATAGACGAGGAAAACGTTATACATTCTTGATTTAAAAAAAAACAAAAAACAGAGAAATGTTTAATTCAATACACTACTGAAAGAGTACTTTGAAATTAAAAAAAAAAAAAGGCAACATGAACCATCATATCCATAAAATGAGGCCAAGTTGCAATGTCTAGAGTAGCAGTGCATTCTGTTCTTAGCACAAAATAGCAAATCAGACACAATGGCAAAGCTATTAATGTTGGTTAGTAGAGTGAAATAGGGAAAATAACAGCCAGTTCTTACTTTCTGCAAAAACACCTCTGTACCAATCTCATCCTCAAATCCTGTTGTGGGTGTCTACTGGAACTATCAGTCAATCAATGCATCAATGATCAACCACAGTCTTAGTGTCGTGCTAAATATTTTCATATAGCTCATCAATTTTATTTCTCCAAACAACCCTATGTTATTTTTATCATCATCATCATCATCATTACTGTCGCTGTTATTATATCTGTATAACTCCAGGAGGATCTGAGTTCCAGAGAGTAACATGGCATGCCTAAGTTTATATCTACTGAGTGTGGCAAAGCTAGGGAGACCAGATTTGTTTGTTTTTTCCATGATACAAACTCAAATTCTTTTTCTAAATGTTATGCCACCACTGCTGTCCTCTAAAGCAAGGTGTTGAGAAATACATATTGCCCTATACTCAATATTAAGAGAGAATCACACAAAGTTTAACCTTAACTAAATGGAAAAAAAAAAAAAAAAAAAAATCAATTTAGAGTAAATTTGGAGTGAGTGATACTTAGCATTACTCTGTTTTTAAAATCTAATGTGTCCCTGTGGATGGATGTGTAGTAAGAGGTGAATTCTGCACACATTGCCTGATAGGCATGGTACACTGTGAGAATTCTAAGTACTATAAGAACCAGAGTGCCAAGTTCAAGAAACCTTCTCTGATGTTTCAAAATAAGGCCACACTAGTTATTTGCTGGAGTTTACCTCCAGCATTCTGAATCACTGCTCTGTTCCCTGGTACCTTAAGTCTGCAGAATCAAATACGTGTTCCTATTATCATTCCTGACTCTTTAATTTTTAGCAAAGGCATCCTTGGAGCTCCTCTCTGCCCACTGACATGCAAACTGAGAGCTCTTTGCACTTTCTGTCACTGAAGGTGGACCACAATCAATATAAGTATTCACCTTGTGTCTCAGCCTTCTTCTGTTAGCCCTTCAGACCCTGGGAATTTTTAGAAAGATGTGACCAACCACTGCTCAAACATGTCCAAATTATGGTTGAGAGAAGGAGGAGGGTACCCTTAACTCTACTGATTTAAATGGAGTTAAACTCTGTTTACAAAACACATAGAAAACCTTCATCAGCCATAATCAAGGGTGAGAGGGTTACTGGAGCTCTTCCCACCACAATCAAAACCCGGTTACCTCTGTGGTGTACCCCCTTTCAGATCTCACATTAGCCAGCTTTCTAACTGTTCAATTCAGGATGCCAACTGCTACTAATCATCTTAACTAAGTGATACCCAGTGCCATTGTGTTTGGTTTTCCATGACTGATTTATTCGTGGTTGGAAATTTATGCCTTGGATAAATTTCAAAATTGCATTTCTTCATAATCGCTATTGTTCAGCAACATTCCCATCTCAAAATGTCTGAGAATAAGCATGGAAATTACATTTTTTTTATTATTATTTGTTTTTTGTTTGCTCTTGTTAATAAGATTTTGTAGACCACAAAAAGTTTGAACATAGACTTTTATGATCTTTTCTCCATTTAAGGAATTCTTCTAGGGAAATTTTGAAAATCAAGATTAAAACAACAAAATAAAATTCACAAAGTAATCTGGTCACAAAAATATAAAATTTATATATTTCTTTTTGTGTTTGTTTTCAAAAGAATTCCTCTAGTTCCTCGAATATCCATTTCTCCGGAAACAGCTATGTCCAAACCCAAAACAAAATCAATACTGAAGGGCAAGATTGATAACTCACTAGAAAATGTGGAGTTAAACTTTGAGGCAGATGAGAAGTTGGTAATGGACACCTGGCAACAGGCTTCTTCAGCAGTATCTAACATGGTAAGCAGTGCTTGTTATTACATTTCCTTCTACTAATTGTTGTTGTTGTGTGCTGCTGAGTCGGACCCGACTCATAGTGACCCCTCCTTGGGTTTCCGAGGCAGTATCACTACAGAAGTAGATTGTCCCATCTTCCTTCCAGGGAGTGTCTGGTGGGTTTGAATCACCAGCCTTCTGGTTAGCAGTCAAGTGCCTTAGGCACTATGCTACCAGAGCTCCCTCCTTCAACTAATACTCATTACTAACTACCAAGGTTGGTGGTATGCTGTGAGTAGACATTTTATGCAATGCCTTTAAACATTATCTAAATCTATACCTTCACAATTTTATTTTCTGAAAGAAATAAAACCAATCAATCAACAACTTAATTTAAAGAAAGAAATGAGCTGACACTTCGATTATTTTCTCTGCTGGGGCTATGTTCAAAGTGCATGGGCCTAAAGAGCCAATCAGGGAACTTGAATCAGGCTAGCCAAGTATGAGCCAGCAGGGAGGGGTGGGACGGTGGCCAAGTGGAGTTCACAACCTTGCTTCTAAAGAGGCAAGTGCTACCCAACCTGGCCAACTTTGCCATTTAAGAAGGGCTAGTGTGGCCATATTTTCTAATTTTTCCAAGAAATGCCAAAAATCTGATTTTTTAAATGTAAAATCTCCTGACTTTAAAATGTTCAAAATGAAATCAAATTTTTAAAAATATTGTGCAAAGCCAAACAAAACACACATCTGGCCTCTAGACCTCTAATTTGCAGCTTTTCTACAAGGCATTCTACATAAGTCATGTATGAGGCAAGTATTGGTATCCTCTTTACAGTGGGCAAATTAAGGTTCAGAAAGGTTAAGAAATTTGCCCAAGGTATTCCAGCAGATAAGGGTCAGAAATGGCATTTGAGCCTAAGTCTATATGACTTCAAAGTTCTTGTCCTTTCTACTTACCACACACTCCTTGGGAGATGAAGAGACCACAGTCTCTGCCTGTAAGGAGTTTGTGTTTAATCCAAAGGGAAAGAAAAAAATACACAAATAAGGTTAATCCAAGCAGAAGGGTTCACACCACACAGGAGACACACAGAGATTAATTTAGATGACCGTGGTTCATTTTCCTGTACTAAGTCAGCCTACATGGTTTCTGTTTTTGTTCTGGGCCTAGTCATCATTGAGTTTCCCCAAAATATCCTATTCAAACAGAAAGTAGTGTCAAACTTCCAAAAAGTTTTGTGGAAGAGGTACAAGGGAGCTTGCATCACAAATCTCACAGCAATCAATGAAAATTTCCACTTTAGCATTTTCAACAACCGTTCTTGGCCACTCAGCCTCTGGGATCTTTTCTTTGGCCTTCTCACACCTCAGCTTAAACCAAAACCAAACTCACTGCTGAAGAGTCAAACCCAACTCATAGCGACCCCTCCTTGGGTTTCCGAGGCAGTATCACTACAGAAGTAGACTGCCCAGCTTCCTTCCGAGGAGTGGTTGGTGGGTTTGAACCACCAGCCTTCTAGTTAGCAGTCAAGTGCCTTAGGCACTATCTTATCAGAGCTCCTACACCTCAGTTTAGGTGTCTCCTTTCTCTCTCCCTTCCTTTTTTATTCTCCTCCCCTTTATTTCCTTCCTATGAGAAGTAATTGTACGCTTCCTTCTTTTTAAAATTTTTATGGTGGATTTTAACCACATAAGACAAATGCATGAAACAGGTCATGACTTAGTGAATCCACCAGGGTAAACACTCATGTAGCCAGCACACAAGGACAGGACTTGCCCCGGCCAAGTCCTTTTGTGCCCCTTCCAATCACACCCCTTTCACTCTTACTAAAGGGAATTATTATCTTGCTACTTTTGTAATCGGTTTCTTGATTTTCTTAAGAATGTTATTACCCAAGTTTGTGTCCCTAAGCAATATAGTTTAGCTTTGCCTGCTTTGAACTTTAAATAAATGGATTCATACATTTTGTGTCTTCTTTTACTCAACATCTTGTGTGGGATTCATCCCATGTTGGTGAGTGTAGCTGTGGTTTATTCATTTTTGTTGTTGTTTAATGCCCATTACTTAATGCCCATTACTCCAATGTTCCACTATTATGACATTGACAGGCATTTTAAGTTTTCAGTTTGGGGCCATTATGGATACTGCTGCCATGAACATTCTTGCACATGTCCATGGGTACACATGTGCATGCATAACAGCTGGGCATATATATTAAAGTATATGATGTTTTCAACTTTCACAGATAAAATTATGCATAATATTTCTGCACTCATGTTGTTGTTGTCTCCAACTCAAAGTGACCTTATGTACAACAGAACAAAACACTGCCTGGTCATGTGCCAACCTCACTATCCCTACTACACCTGAGCTCATCGCTACAGCCACCATGTCTATCCATCTCATTGAGGACCTTCCCCTCTTTCATTGACCCTCCACTTTACCAAACATGACATTGTTCTCCAGAGAATGGTCCCTTCTGATAATATGACTGAACTAGGTGAGACTAAGTCTGGCCATTCTTGCTTCCAAGGAGCATTCTGGCTGCATTTCTTCTAGGACAGACCTGTTAGTCCTTTTAGCAGTCCACAGTACTTTCAGTATTCTTTGCCAACACCACAGCTCAAAAGCATCAACTCTTCTTCTATCTTCCTTATTCATTGTCCAGCTCTCACATGCATATGTCATGATTGAAAATACTTTGGTTTGGGTTAGTTGCCTCCTAGTCTTCAAGGAGATATCTTTGCTCTTCAGCACCTGAAAGAGGTCTTTTACAACAGATTTGCCCAGTGTAATACGTCATGTGATGTCTTGACTGCTGCTTCCATTGGTGTTGATTGTAGAACAAAGTAATATGAACTCTTTGACAACTTCTATCTTGTCTCCATCTATCATAATGCTGCTTATTGGTCCAGTTGTGAGGATTTTTGTTTTCTTTATGATGAGGTGTAATCTGTACTGTAGACTGTAGTCTTTAATTTTCATCATTAAGTGCTCTAAGTCATCCTGATTTTCACCAAGCAAAGTTGTGTCATCTGTGTATTACAGGTTGTTAATAAGCCTTCCTCTAATCTTGATGCTGTGTTCTTCTTCACATAGTCCAGCTTCTCAGATTATTTGCTCAGCATACAAGTTGAGTAAGTATGGTGAAAGTATACAACCCTGATGCATTCCCTTCCTGATTTTAAACCATGCAGTATCCCCTTGTTGTATTCAAATGACACCCTTCTCGTTCATGTACAGGTTCCTCATGAGTACAACTAAGTGTTCTTGAATTCCCATCCTTCTAAGTTATCCATAATTTGTTATGATCCACACAATCAAATGTCTTTGCATAGTCAATAAAACACATGTAAACATCTTTCTGGTATTCTTTGCTTTCAGCCAAGGTCCATCTGACATCAGCTATGATATCCCTCACCCCACATCCCCTTCTGAATCCAGATTGCATTTCTGGAAGTTCTCTATCAATATACTGCTGCAACCATTTTTGAATTATCTTCAATAAGATTTTGCTTGCATGTGATATCAATGATATTGTTCAATAATTTCTATATTGTGTGGGATCACCTTTCTTTGTAATGGGGACAAATGTGAATCTCTTTCAATCAGTTGGCCAGGTAGCTGTCTTCCAAATCTCTTGGCATAGATGAGTGAGCGCCTCCAGTGGGACATCTGTTTGTTGAAACATTTCAATGGGCATTCCATCAATTCCCAGAGCCTTGTTTTTTTGCCAGTTCCTTCAGTGTAGCTTTGACTTCTTCCTTCAATACCATTGGTTCTTGATCATATGCCACCTCCTGTAATAGGTGATCATCTACCAATTCTTTTTGGTATAGTGACTATGTATTCCATCCATCTTCTTTTGATGTTTTCTGCATCATTCAACTTATTATCCATGGAATCTTTCAATATTGTAATTTGAGGCTTACATGTTTTCCTCAGTTCTTTCAGCTTGAGAAATGCAGAGCGTGTTCCTCCCTTTTGGCTTTCCAACTCCAGGTCGTTGCACATTTCATTAGAATAATTGACTTTGTTTTCTTGAGCTGCTCTTTGAAATCTTCTGTTCAGCCCTTTTATCATGTCAATTCTCCCATTTGCTTTAGCTACTCTCCATTCTAGGGCAAGTTTCAGAGTCTCTGCTGACATCCACTTTGGTCTTTTCTTTCTTTCCTGCCTTTTTAATAATCTTTTGCTTTCTTCATGGATGATGTTCTTGATGTCATCCCACAATTCTTCTGTTTTTTGGTCACTGGTGTTCAATGCATCAAATCCATTCTTTAGTTGGTCTCTGCACCCATAGAAAATACTAAATCCTTTATTCATTTGACTACAATATCATCTTTGTCATAAATCAGGCGACCAGCTACGTGTGGGTCTGTTGCATTGCTCTTTTTTCACTCCTCATACCAATACCATACCAGTATAATGCCATTTATTTATCTGGATAACTATTAGATAAAAGCTCCCTACCTTGTCATTTGTCAAGAATAGTTTGCCTCTTCTTGGCTCTCTGTCTTTCCATATAAATTTTAGAACCAGCTTGTGAAGATACAGACATGTTGGCTGTTGAGATTTTTCAAATAGTGTTTATCAGATTATGGAATTTCCCCTTCATTTTTAGCTTGATGTAAGGTTTTGTTTTTATTTTACAAATGGTAATATCATATACTTTATGTGCATATATTTAGATGTCATATATTTTTCCAAATTATATTGATTGATTTTCTAATGTTAAATTTGCATTGCATTCTTGGAATAAATCCAAAATTGTAATAAAGCATTCTTCTTAGGTATTGTTGGGTTTGTTTTGCTAATAACTTGCTCAGGGTTCTTTAAATCTTTGTTCATGAGTGAGAGAATTTTCTCATTTTCCTGCTTATGTTATACTTGTCTGTTGTTAGCATCAAGGTAATATTAGCCTCATAAATCAAGTTGGGGTATGTTTTCTTTCTTTCTACATTTTGGAAGATTTTGTGAAGACTGAAATTATTTCTTGTTGAAGTCATCTAGGCCTATAATTCTGTAGGAAGTTTTCTCAATCCCCCATCCCCAAGGATTCCTTTTCTTTATTAGATATAGGATAGTTTGTGTTTTCCATTTCTTCTTGAAAGAAACTTGTGTTGGTTATGGTAAATTTTATTTCTCCTGGGATTTTTTCCCATTTCTACAATTTCAAATTTACTAGAATGAAGTTGTTTATGCTATCATCTGTTTGTATTAATATCTGTTGTTATGTGCCATTGAGTCAGACCTGACTCATAGACACCCTTCCTTGCATTGCTGAGGAGGTATCTCTATGGAAGTAGATTGCCCAATCTTCTTTCCAAGGATTGGCTGGTGGGTTTGAACCGCCAGCCTTCTGGTTAACAGTCAAATGCCTTAGATGCTACACTACCAGAGCTCCTATTAATATCTGTAGTATCTATTCTGTGTCTCCCTTTCCAATCCTGATTTTGATTATTTATGCTATTCCTTCTCTTTTATCAGCTTTGCCAGAAGTTTATTCAAAGAACTTTCAATTTTACTGATTGACTTTCCTGTGGGGATTTTCTATGAATTGATTTTTTTCCTTCCTTCTTTCTTCTTTAGGTACATTTTGCCATTATTTCTCTAGTGTTATGACATGGATGATAGCTCATTATTTTTCAGTCTTTCTTCTTTTCTAATATGTTCATTTTTAAGGATAAGGTCTCCTCTGAGTTGATTTTGCTGTATCTCAAAAGTTTAGGTATAGTGTTATTTTGGTTATCTCATTGAAAGCAACTTTAGAAGCACATTTTTTATTTTTATAATTATGTGTGTTTTTCTCTTAGTTATGGATTTCTAGCTTAATTACATTATAGCCAGAAAATGTACCCTCTCTGATATGAAGCCATAGATATTTTCTGAGATTTGCTTCCTGGTCAGTTTTGGGGATGTTTTTGTGTGTCTACCAAGAGCCAGAGAGTGGAAAACCAAATGTGAGAGCTCTAGAAAATATATGAATTGTTATCCTTATTACAAATTAAGCCACAAAAATAATCTATAAGTTTCATGAATGCCATTAAAGTTACCTGGGGAAAATGACATTTTAAAATATTACATTATTAGAAAAAATGTCACACAGCATTTGGAGCACTGATAACACCTCTTAATTAGTCTGTGGGAGTTCAGACAAATCATTTAAGCTGTCCAAGTCTTCATTTCTGTATCACTGTTAACATAGGAGACATTCTATCTTTCCTTTCTTGAATGGTGAAAGGATCCAACGAAATAAGCCATACAAAAATGTTTTAGAAATTGTAAATTTAATAATTATGTTAAGAAATCTATTTAAAATTATGTAATTTTCCTTACAGAGTTTTAAAAATCACATAGCAAACATAAGAGGAAGGATTATTTAACAATTACTTGATATCATGAATAATTACTCTGTTTTTGTATATTTCGAATAGACTTTTATGACTATAATGTCACAGGACCTTCAAGGAATTTTGAATTCCAAATAAGGCAGGTGTGATTTCATAAATTATTGCAGGGAAAACAGTGCCACCTGAGATGAGTGCCATTTAAATGAGAGCACTTTAACCCAGGTTTTCTCCTACACAGAAGCTTTACCAAGAGCTATCCATTTAGCCTTCCATTTTAATTTTTGCTAAAACTCTCTTCTAATCAGCAGGTATGGAGTAATTTGGAAGAATAAAGCCATATTTAGCACCCACAAGGCATTATTTCTAAAGTTCTCTCCAGCCTTACAAGCTAGATTGCTGGATGTATTGTGAATTATGTTAATTTTTGATAGAGACCCAGAGGTCTTTGAGACAAGTGGCCCAGAAAAATGATGATGATAATTATCATCATCATCATCATCACAAGTTGTTTACAAAATAGAAAACTCCCGTTTTAAAGGAGATGACTAACTTGTGCTTAGCAAGAACAGATTAAAAACTGAATTGCTTGTAATTTTAGGGGAGAATGCTAACAAGTTTGCTTTCAGCTTTACCAAGAATTTGCAAGTACAGTAGATAGCATGAAATCCATTTGCATCAGTAAAGCACCTGGTTAAAAACTGCTTTACTCTCTGAAGCCTTTCTGTGTCCCTCCAAGGTTCTACTGAGATTGAAGCAGGTGTGTGTGCCTTTAGTGGAATGTGATTATTTAAAACTAAATTCCATTAATTAATAAGCATTTACTGGTCATCACCCATGGGCATAGCATTGGTTCTAAAAGCTACGGAGAATACAAAGAAGTAAGACTGGTTAGGCTCTGGAGAGGGTTACAGCTCATTTGGATGTTAGGGCAAGACTTAACATTCATAGAGCAGTTGGGGACAGTCTGAGCCAAGTGACATCAAATGTAGCACAAATTTGGAGAAGGAAGGATTGACTGGTGTCTCTCACTTGCAGGACAGCAAGCTCCTTAAAAGTAGATATTGTGTCTTTTTCATCTTTCTGTTCATTCCCATCAATCTTCCTCTTTCTCCTCCAATCCTCTCACCCCATTCTCCCAGAAATAATATCAAGCTTCAATACAGTAAGCACACCACTACATAAATAAGTCCCCATAAACCCCTATTTCCTCATCAGTCATGAGATTTTAACCAAATGGGTTAACTGTTTGCATATCAACTCATCAATTAATACATATTATATGTCAACAACCAGTTCTGATGGAGCAAGAGAGCAAAAATATCTTACTCTTTTTACATATGAAGCTCAGATATCATACAGTATATAAACAGATATACCCCCACTCTTCACTTATTGACATAGTTAGGTCCCAAAGATCAGGTCATTACGAGCAAGTCCTGTTATGTGAAAATGGAGGATGACAACATCAGATCACAAACTAGAGGATGACTACATCATTACTTAACTGCTAAATGTCATCATTACATAACTGCCAAATGTCTTCATTATATAACTGCCAAATTACATCGGTATATAACTGCCTAAGAGAATCAAGTGGACACATAACCTTAACTGTCACAGTCAGCATTATTCCCACATCACACCTTTGCATTCATTATTGTCAGACATATGTCATTAATGTGCAAAGTAGTGGTACTGTACATTTTTTTACAATTGTCCTAAATGCACAATGTCAGATAATGAGATAGTTCATAAGTGAAGAGTATCTACGATATTAAAATTTCATAGGAGGTGGAGCAAGTAGGGAAAAATGTCTAAATTCCATAGGCCATAGTAATTAAAAAAGGGTTGAAGAACATTGACATGAGGAAATGCCCAGGATTGCAGGCCAAGCAATATGAACTTGGAAGAATAGTGGGCAAGTCTATAGGGTCTGAGCTTCAAAAAGAGGAATGTGTGCATAAATATGGAGCCATGATGGACTGACAGAAAAACAAGGGTGCCGTGAGAAAATTCAAGAGTGTATTGCAAGCAGGGCTGAAGAGAGAGAGCAGCCCCCGCACAGAGGCTGTGGAGAAGCTGATTTTGGGACAGAGCCAGATTTCCATTCCAGTAAAAAAACACAGTGTGGATTCTGTTAGAGACTGAGTATGTAGGCATGATTGTGTACAGTGCAATGAGGCTTCAATGTGATCTGGTGGTGACTAAATCTACATGGTTATCATGTTTCATAAACACTGCATTAATTGATATATTGTTGTTACACAACCAGGTGGCTGCTGAAATTCATCAGATGGTCATGGAAGAAGAAAAAGACAACCAGCAAGTAGACATGAGAGAAAAATCTATGCAGACAGGTGTAAATAAAAAAGCCAAAAAGGAACCCAAGAAACAAAAAACAGACAAAAAAGCTAAAGGTATTTATGATTTATCTACAACTTTGGGTGCTTCCACCCCTTCTTGGTAGGAAAAAAGCATATAATTAGGAACAGGGGTCTCTAAGTCACTAGAGTACTGTTCATTAGATTTACAGCACAGCTTCAAACCAGTTCTTCCCCGTTCAGTCATGCTGATGAGGTAAAGTTGGCATGGACCTGATTTTATGAAATCTGGGTACACTAGGACAACAACCAGAATGGAAAAATTGTAGATCAACACCCTGCTAGAAACTTAACCTCCCTCTTAGAAAATAAGGGCAGTGTGCATATTGCATAGCAACAAAATCTCTTGACTGGTAGAGTCAGAAACAATGGCACCTTGCTCAAAGAAGGTGGCTGACCTTTTTTGACACACTTTGAATGTGTGCCACTCTTCACAGTCCTGAAAACAATCCAGTCTCCCACATCAGGCTCTGAAAGGTCTCACTATGCCTCTTCTCAATATCCCATTCCAGGGCTTCAACCTGTATTTTTCTCATTCCAGTTATCATTCTGATACCTTCACATTTTACAAATTCAAGTCTGTCAAAATTTCACTGAATCAGCCATGACTGAGCCAGTTCAAACTGGTTTAAATGAGGGACGCAGGTGTCTATGACCCTGTGATGTTAGTCGGCAAATGATACTGCATACGAGTCCCACCCAACTTGTTTATCCAAATATCCAAGTTTATTCAGTCAGACTAAATCTCAAAGACAGTTTTGAACATGTTAAAGGAACTCTGAAATGAGACTATATAAATAGAACATTGTGTTTAAAGGACCTGCCACTTGCCTGCTAACCAGACGGCTGGCGGTTCAAATCCACCAGCCACTCCTCGGAAGGAAGGTTGGGCAATCCTACTTCCGTAGTGATACTGCCTCGGAAACCCAAGGAGGGGTCGCTATGAGTCGGGGCCGACTCGACGGCACATAACAACAACAACAACAACCTGCTGTAGTAAGCCGGAGAAATTTAAAAGCTAATCATATGTATGCTCTATTCAGGGCACTTTAATCCAAGTGCTTCCTTCTATGGGAGGTGGTCCACCTAAATCTCTGCCTAAAGGCATGATGGAAGAGAAAGAGAAAGAAAACTCAGATTGGGAGAGACCCCAAGTAACCTTAGGGCAGTTCTGATGCAAGCATTCTCCTCCTTCTAAGTGTTTCCATTTTTACATTTTTGAAATGACCTGAGGCAAGAGAGGAACAGAAGAAAGGACCTCCATTAATCGATTGTGCATATGTTCATTAGGAATCTGCTGTGTGGAATGCACTGTGATGGGTACTAAGGACACAGTCATCATTATCACCAGTTGCCATGGTTGTTGTTGTTGTTATGTGCCTTTGAGTCAGACCCGACTCATAGCGACCCCTCCCTGGGTTTCCGAGGCAGTATCACTACGGAAGTAGATTGCCCCATCTTCCCTCTGAGGAGTGGCTGGTGGGTTTGAACCGCCAGCCTTCTGGTTAGCAGTCAAGTACCTTAGGCACTACGCTACCAGAGCTCCCAGTTGCCATGGAGTAGACTCTAATTCATAGTGATCTCACGTGTGTCAGAGTAGAATTGGGGTTTCAAATGGGTCTTTTTTCCAAGGTGCCCATGGGTGAACTTGAACTTCCAACCTTTCACTTAGGATCATTAACCATTTGTATAACCCAGAGACTCCTTCATGATTAAAAACAAAAGAAAATAAACATAAATAAATAAATGAACAAAGTGTATGGTCCCTCATCTAGCAGCAGTGATAATCATTTGACCAGTCATTGTTCTTTGATGGGGAGATACAGGTACCTTGGGAGCAAAGGCACTTCCTTCCATCTGAGATAGAGTATAAAGAAACAGCAAAGCAATGAGGGTAGGAATTAACAAGACAAAGCTCTGGGAAGAGGAGAAAGGACAAGAGGGTATGAAGGCACTTGAGGCAAAGGGAAGAATAGAATAACAATAAAGAGCTTGCCACATAATCTCAGTCGCAATAAGATAAATAAGCAGCATTGGAAGGAAATATGCCAGTTTACTTTAATAGAATGACTGGTCATATTCAATCCTTTAATTTCACAGATGATAAAACAGAAATCCAAAAACATTAAACTCTTTCATCTGTAACACTTACTTATATTTATTATTGCAACTAATATATCTTATCAGAGTTTCTTTGTTTATATTTATGTCTTCAGAGATTACTAATGATTTGAAGTCAGATACTCAGGAAAAATTTTTTGGACTGAGTAGAATTTGTATAAACCAGGGCTCACAACTAGAATCATGCTACCATATCCCAGCATAAATCCTCAGACAAATACTGACAGTCTTACTTTCTAATTTTCTTATGTGATCACTAAAGTGCTTATACTTAAGCACTAATTAAACATCTTTAAGTGGGTCTTAGGTTCATGAACATCAATTATATTTCAGCCATATCTTTCTGAGATTGTTCTCTGGCCTTTTCCTGATGGAGGCCTGGCCTGGGAAGCACTTTGCTAATACAAGCCATCTTCTCCTGATGGCTAACGGCATCTGTGCTATGTTGGGTTTTGCTAACTTCTGTCTTCAAACTCTGTAACCATCTCTGCACTTACTGCACACATCATTTGCCTGTGATGCCACACATATGAGGTATTTCTGTAGGCATCTAGTCCAGATATCATGAAAGAATCTTGAGGTGGGACTATCAATAGTCCACCATTCACTGCGGCCACCAGGGTTTCTAGTTTCCAAGTCCCTAGAGACTGGTGCTCTGGTAGCATAGTGCCTAAGGCACTTGAGTGCTAGCCAGAAGACCAGTGGTTCACACCCACCAGCCACTCCTGAGAAGGAAGGTTGGGCAATCTACTTCTGTAGTGATACCACCTGGGAAACCCAAGGAGGGGTAGCTATGAGTCAGATCCGACTCGATGGCACATAACAACCACAGAGACTGATGGGTCTATAAATACCCTATTCCTTTTGTCCAAGTACCATGTGTGTGAGCACTTGAGTGCTGGTCATTTACTAAGCATGTTTCATTGTCATTTCAGGCAAATCACCACCTATAGCAGAAGCCTCTCCTGTATTCATATCCCCAGAGGAAATGGCTGAAATGGAAAGGAAAAATGAACTGAAACTCAAAATAAAGGAAGAGCATCTTGCTGCCCTGCAATTTGAAGGTAGTGATTGAAAATAATTAAGATGATACTTTGCAGTAGAAAATAGCCCAGGAGGCTAACAGCCCAGAACTAGCTCACCAGTTTTCTCAGATTGTGCCTACAGACCACAAAGCAAACAGAAAAATAGAACATTTAGTCTGTTGTTTCCATCTGACTATATGAGGACCAACCACAGATTCGACGGATATATGAATCAGATATATTGGCAGTCCCTGATCAAGTCGTAATTTTGTCTGCCAGGATCTCAAAAAGACACTAAGAGAATTTGGAAAGGATGTAGGAGAGAAACATCATTAATTAAAATCACCAAAAGTAGAAACAGAGAGAAAATGCTAGGAATTGGTGTGATTTTGCAGGTAAAAAAAAAAAAAAAAAGAGGACTTGGGGCTACCTAAAATAAGTGGTTTAACATTATAATAATTTAGCCCTTTCATTAGGAAAATCAATTCTGACTAAAGTATAACAGGTTTCAAAAGTAGGTTCTTAGAAGTAGAAGTCATAGAAGAGACAATGGGGCATCTAGCATGTTCAAGGGCCTTCTTCTGTGTAGATAGCTATGACTTTACTAGACATATTCTCCTATGTACCATATTCCAATTGTAATTGCAATGCAATTCAAAATGAAGTTTGAAAAGATAAGGAAAAATATCGTAACTGGGAGGGAACCATGGTCAGTATACTAGGTGACCATACAAAGCATCATTAAGTAGCCTGGGACACCTTTACTTACTTAGTGACCAGTAGTTATTATGGATGCTTCCTTTCCCTTGCTTCTCTCCTGCCACACTCCCCCTATCTCACTTCCATAATTCCAACAGTGCAAACTGAAGTCAGGGAGACCTGTGGAATCAGGAAAGTCAGGATAAATGCTTCTCCCATGACCCTTCCCTGCATCTGATTTCAGTGGTTTTCAGTATACTTCATGTTTCAATTCACTCATGATCCTTAGTGTGGCAAAATTTATTCATTTATATAATAAATGTTCATTGAATTTCCACTATGCACCAGAACTGTAGTAACTGCCAGAGACACATATATATATATATATGTACAAATGTAAAATGAACTGACAAACAAAAATCAACCTAAATGAAGAGAAATGCAAGCAATCACTTATAATGTGTTTTGAAGCTGGAGCTAGGCACATGGGACAAAAGGAGCACAGGGGCAGTGATCAAGAAAGACTTCGCAGAGGAACTAGTGTTTGAGCTGAACTGGAAGCCTATGGGAAAGTTTGCCCAGAGGACAAATAGGACTAAGAACGGCCAAGACAGAGAGAGGGGTAAGGAGCACGTTTCTTACCTGTGCGTAGCTCCAGAGCGTGAGGCAGGGGCAGGAGGGAATCGGGAGATGTGGTCATATAGGGCCTATAATTCTTTTATGGCAATTTCTCTTATGGAAAGCTAGTGAAGAATTGTGAGGAGAAATCTTCATGACATGATCATATCAATAAATGAAGCAAATGACTATGTAGTGGGTTTGAGGTGGGGAGACAAAAACTAAAACTCACTGTCATCAAGTCAGACTCAACTCATAGTGATCCCTCCTTGGTTTTCCAAGACGGTAGCACTACGGAAGTAGATCACTCAGTCTTCCTTCCAAGGAGTGACTGGTGGATTTGAACTGCCAGCCCTCTGGTTAGCAGTCAAATGCCTTAGGCACTATGCCAGTTAGAAAAAGCAGGAATGAGGCTGTGGCAATAGTTTGGTTGAGAGATAATCAATGCCTAACCTATCCAAGTAGCAAAGGAAAAAAGCAAAGAAAAGAAATCAGAAAGATATTTTGGAAGTAAAATCCATGGCCTTTATTATATACCAGAAATATCATCAGGCCCTGGGACACATAGGTTTTACATTAGCACCAGCCACTTCTCAGAAGGAAGATGGGGCAATCTACTTCTGCAGAGATACTGCCTCGGAAACCCAAGGAGGGGCACTATAAGTTGAATCAACTTGATGGCAGTGAGTTTGTTTTTTGCTTTTATCAGTGCTGAGAAATACAATGGCATTACACAAAGCAAAGTATTCAAAATAGTGAGATAAAAAAAAGAGACTTTGTCTTCATCATCCTTACTGAAATTCAAGATTATCTATGTGTCTTTTCCCTTTCCAAGTTTATCAAAGAATATATTGCTATAAAGTGCAATAAATGTAAAGCTCAAGTATAATTTTGGTTAAATAATCTCTTAAATGACTCTACCACACATTATGATTTGGTCTAGAATGATACGGATAAAGAATTACTTTATCAAATTCAAGTTGGATTCAAAAGAGGTTATGGAATGAGTGGTTATCATTGCTGAAGTCAGATGGATCTTGGCTGAAAGCAAAGAATACCAGAAAGATGTTTACCTTATTAACTATACAAAGGCATTCAACTGTGTGGATCATAACAAATTATGGATGACATTATGAAGAATTGGAATTCTAGAACATTTAATCATGCTTGTGCAGAACCTGAACAAAACCAAGAGACCATCATTTGAATGTGGGTTAATGTCAGGAAAGGTGTGTATCAAGACTGTATCCTTTCACCATACTTATTTAAACTGTATGCTGAGCAAATAATCTGAGGCACTGGACTATATGAGGAAGAATGCAGCATTAGGATTGAAGGAAGATTCATTAACAACCTGTGATATGTAGATGACACAACCTTGCTTGCTCAAAATTTGAAGTACTTATTGATGAAAATCAAAGACTACAGTCTTCAGTATAGATTATACCTCAACCTAAAGAATATATATATTCACACAACTGGATCAATAAGCAACATCATGCTAAATGTAGAAAAGATTCAAGGTGTCAAGGAGTTAATTTTATTTGCATAAACAATCAATGCCCATGGAAGCCAGCAGTGAAGAAAGCAAATGATGTATTGCATTGGGCAAATCTCTAGCAAGAGACCTTTTGAAAAGGTTGAAAAGCAAAGGGCCACTTTGAAGATTAATGTGCTCCTGACCCAAGGCATGGTATTTTCAGTAGCCTTGTACGCATGTAAAAGCTGAGCAATGAATAAGGAAGACCAAAGTAGAATTGATGGCTTTGAATGATGGTATTGGTAAAGAATACTGAATGTATTATGGACTGCCAGAGAATGAACAAGTATGTCCAGAATGTTCCTTAGAAGAGAGGATGGCAAGACTTCATCTTAGATATTTTGGGCACATTATCAGGAGGGACCAGTCCCTGGAGGAGGACATCGTGCTTGGTAAGTAGCAGGTCAGTGAAAAAGAGGAAGACCTTTAACAAGATGCATCAGCCCAGTGGCTGCAACAGGTTACTTGGACAGCAATGACTGTGAGGACAGCACAGGAGCAGGCAGTGTTCCATTCTGTTGTCCATCAGGTTGCTATGGTCCGTAAGTGACTCGAAGACACCTAACAACAACAACAACATTAGTTGTCTATTCTGGTATAGTAAATGTGCACCTACAGCTTCACATATTGAAGTTAGATTAATTTAAAATAGAATTCAATTAATCAGGAAATGAATGTACAGATAATACGTTTTAAAACCCCTGTTTATCTTTCTAAACAGAGATAAGCACACAGTTTCGACTTGAACTGATAAAGGCAAAAACTTTGGCTTTTCTTGAAGATCTGGTAACAAAGGTGGTAGACGTATATAAACTCATGGAAAAGTGGCTTGGTGAGAGGTACCTGAGCGAAATGGCCAGGTAAAGTACTGCATGGCTTTTTTAAAATATGCCTTGTTAATTTCTGAATAGGAATATTGTCACTTGGGTATTTATACATGCAAAGTTACAAATATAAATTACATTTACAAATATAAATTTTGATCTTTAAGGAAATCACATATATGAACACTTGCAGTGAGGGTTTATTATCACATTTGTATTGAATCTTCAAACAATAAATCATTCATCAAAAGGTTCTATTTCAATATCCAGTTTTACGTTTTACTGATGAGTTTGGTTTTCATACTGCACAATGAGAACCTTGGTTTAAAAGAAAAAAAAGAAAAGAAAGAAACCAAACGCACTGCCACTGAGTTGATTCTGACTTATAAAACCCTTTAGGGCAGAGTAGAACTGCCCCAAGCGTTCCAAGGGTGTCAGTCTTTACAGAAGCAGACTGCCTCATTTTTCTCCCGCAGAGCAGCTGGTGGGTTCAAACCCTGACCTTTTGGTTAATAGCCAAATGCTTTAACCACTCTAAGATTCTAGGTAACTTTTTTAAATTTTTCAGACAATAATATTTCATATCTTTCTAACCCAAGACTTACTTTTAACCATTGCTGTTAAATCAATTTCAACTCAGAGCAATCCTGCAGGACAGAATAGAACTGTCCAATAGGGTTGCCAAGGCTGTAATCTTGACAGAAGCAGACTGCCACATCTTTCTCCCACAGATAAGCTGGTGGGTTGGAACCAAAACCTTTGGTTAGCAGCCGAGGGCTTAAGTGTTATGCCACCAGGACGCCCGTTAGACTTATTGTTAGGGCTAATTGATGGAAGATAAACAAGCTATTTCTTAGAATGTTTGCCTCCTTAAGTTGATTCCCCTGTGAGGGTAATACCCAATTCTACTTTTCCACTGTGTTCCAAAGGCTGTCCAGATTATCATCACTAGTGAGGGGCAGTGAGTTCTTTCTCTGTGATCTCCCCTAAAGGACATAAAGAGGCAGCTCAGAAGAGTGGAAGTAGTCCTCAACTGAGAGTCCCGGTGCTGATTTTGGTCCCACACTATCCACAAATTAGCAACATGCTTAATGATTTTGGGCTTCATCAGCTTCATCTAACCAGGCTATTGCAGAGGTTTCTAGATTCTGTGATAGATGCCAGTTTGCTGCAGTTACTGAAAATTTAGAACCAGAAGGCTGGCAGATCAAACCCAGCAGCCATTCCTCGGAAGGAAGATGGGGCAATCTACCTCCGTAGTGATACTGCCTCGGGAAACCCAAGGAGGGGTCGCTATGAGTTGGGTCCGACTCGATGGCACACAACAACAACAATGTACATAGGACTCTAGTGTCAAGTATTCTCAGAAATAACAATTGCCCTCTAAAAAACAGTTCTTACTGCTTGTTTTCTCCCATGCTTGCCTCATAATTAAAGTTCTGCTGTACAGTCATCTGGGTCATTGCTTAAAACTGTTGACTCTATAATAAAAATATGAATATATACAAATTTCACTACTAGATGTATTGCTTTGTCATCCCAGAGCAGTGATATTTAGCTCTGTTCTCTGCCTGCTTGAAAAAGATGAAAGTGGACCTTCTTCCAGGGATTGGTGGCTGCCATCCACGTGGCTATCAAGTGTGAATTTTTTTTTTTTTTTTTAAATCAGATGTACTGACTGATACTATATATATCTCAGCCCTTGGAATCTGCAGAGGCTGTGTACTGTGGCCACAAGAAATTAAAACCTAGGATTTTTTTTTTTTTTTTTTTTCTAGGAGCTCTGGTAGCATAGTGCCTAAAGCACTTGACTGCTAACTAGAAGGCTGGCAGTTCAAACCCACCAGCCAGTCCTCGGAAGGAGGGTTGGGCAATCCTACTTCCGTAGTGATACTGCCTCAGAAACCCAAGGAGGGGTCGCTATGAGTCGGACCGACTTGATGGCACATAACAACAACAGGATTTTTTTTTGGCTAAACATTCTGTTCTTGTTATAAAAACTTTTTGGAGATACAAAAAAAGAAGAAGAAGAAAAGAAAGTTATCAGATTTCTTTGAATTTCAAATCCTGTTCTTCCCTTTCCTGGCATTCTTTTCCCTCCCAATCTTGAGCCGATTAGCCTTGGTAACGTCCACTAGGTGGCGTGCACCTGTTTTAAAATTCTGATTATGGTTGTGTTTCTGTCCCCTTTTGCAGTCCCGCCCCCATCACATTCTTAAGTCAGTAGCTACTCAATGATCTTCCCTCCTGCCACCTTGAGCATACACACACCTTCAAGCATAAACTAATTAGATAACATATGCTACATGATCATTCACAAAGACAGCATGCTGGAGTTGAATTCAAGGGTGACTTTGGAAAGAAAGCAGCTAGTACTATTTTCTCCTTTCAGTATATGAATAACCTGATGTTCCTGAATTATATAAAAACGTATTAAATATGCATTTTCCTGTGACAGTCTAGCTTTCATTATAAGATATGAACAAGACTCTAAAACAGTGAGTTTTTACTTATTCATGTAGAATAAGTAAAATTCATATTCATGTTTATTCAAAATATTTATTTATACTTATTCATGGCCTTTAAAATGTTGTTTCACTAATTAGGGCCTTAACTATAATCTCTAACACAGTTTAAATCCATGTTCTATGTGATTTCACATTAGCAACCCTAAGGTTGTACAGTGGCTGGCTCCACTGTACAAACAAGAAAATTCAGAGTTTAAGTGCCTTAAACAAGAACCAGTGGCTATAGAATGTCCTAGAATGAGAACTCAGCATCCGACACTTATTGTTAGGTGCTGCCCATTTGGTTCCTACTCATAGAGACCCCATGTACAACAGAAGGAAACACTGCCAGGTTTATGCCCTCCTCACAGTTGTGGGTCCTGACTCTTGGTGCCTCTAGCCATATGATCTAGCTAGGATCTCTTACACTTCATGAAGCAAAGCAATTTCAGTGAGCCAGAGCCCATTCTGATAACTGTGTCTTAGACAACATCAAAGTTTTCACATCAAGTCAGAGAAAATCCACTCTTGTAAAATACATTATCAAATTTGATTCACTGTTTAATTTATCCCAATTCCAAGAAAATGTATAGTCTGACAGTCTTATTTTACTGGTTATTCTGTCATCTCATTTTATTCTAGCTCATACTTAGAATAAAATATATCCCTGACATAATCTTGCACAAATCATAAAATATGTTACAATAATAATTAAACAATATTTAATATATTCTCTTTTTGTTCTGCTTTACATAAAATTGAGTGACTAGTAATCAGCATGTATTTCATTTTTAATCTGAACAGATTTATTTATATACTGCTTTTTCCCAAAATGTATTTGAGGAGAAGCTGAAAATTTTAAACATGCACATAGAATTGTCTAACTTAACTTTATAATGTGTTCACTTTGTGTATATGTCTTCTAAGCAAACACTGCTCATCTCATAGGTATCTTTAATGGAAATAACTATTTTCCCTTTTAGTATTGAAAAATTAACTGAGGTAGCCCGCTATCACATTGAAACATCTACGAAAATTCAGTATGAACTTTATTTAAACCAAGAAGACTTCTTCATTAACGGCAACATAAAAGTCTTTCCAGATTCTCCACCACCGGTACGTCCTCCACCCGTAGAAAAGGAAGCAAATGGAACCCTGACCATTGAACAACTCAACAATCTTCAGAGTCATTTCCTAGATATGGCACCAAAAGGTAGGAAAACAATTATTAAGAAAATAGCACAAAAGGTAAAGATTAAACAAGTTAATCACTCCCCCACGGTGAAATCACTCCTTAGATTGCATAGCACTAAAACAAGCCCTTACTTCATTCTAATTTATCACACACTTGCTTCATCTAATACAAATCTGAATTAAAAAAAAAAAAAAATCACAGCAGCTCATATTTGAACAGTGTGGTGATCCACATTCATTTTTCTCTCCTGTCCTCCTTGGCCCCTGAGGGGACAAATTGGTAAATTTGAGTATACTCCATCTCGAGAGAGTCTTTGTGCATACTTCAGGTCTAAATGTTGCATCGGGTTATGAGTTTGTGTTTCTGTCTGAGAAGAGAGACCAGAAAGTAAAGAATTTTCCTTTTATATCTGCCCTTTCCCTCAATGCATCAACAATGACTAAAATTAAATACGTGCTTGATAACTAGTCACTTAATTGGTTAGGTCATGTGTTCATATGTGTACATGTTGTTTTCCACACACAATTCCTTATTTCCTTCGCAGTTTATCTTTATGTCTCTAGAGCAACTGCACAAGCTTTGTTTACTCAGGCTTTTCCTACAGCCAGAGGTTCTTCAATGTGCTTCATCACTTGACAGCAGCTAATTCAGACCAGTTGTGTAGGATTGTCATCGCAATGTATGGGTCTGGACATTGAGTCACAGAGCTGTAGAGCAATTTGCCTGTCTTCATGTATCAGTCTGGACTCTGGATTCAAAGTCCCTGCCCCTTTTTTCCTAAACTAAGTTGCTTCTTGCAAATAGGTTTATTTTTCTCTTCTGTCATATTCTACTTATTAGAAAATCAAATCTTTGCCCAAGAGAGTAGTCAACTGACTTAAGTCTAGTCCTAACATGATTCCATAATGATTCTATTCCATTCAATTTTTAAAAGCCTAGTATATCAAAAACCTATACCAAATCTCATTAAAGGCACTACTTTACTCTGATTCTGAAAACTTCCTGGTTAAATCCAATCGATGAAATGCATGTAAATGTGAACCCCTTCCCTGACATGTGTCAGCTCATCTAATCAACTTGAGCAGCTTTTACACCTCCAGGGTAGAAACACACAAGATATGGATAGTCACCACTCAAATTGGCAGCATTTGGACAGAAAAGAAATGTGGCCATCAGTAGGTACTAAAACCAAAATGAAACAAAAACCTTTATAAAGCCATCTCATGAAACCCTCGCAATCCTTCAGTCAGACAGAGCCCCTTCTCTTCCCTATTGTGTGGCCTTCACAATGCCCTTTTTCAGTATCTCCCCCTTCCAAGTTGTTTTAGCTTTTCATTTTATTCACACTATTTTTTATATTGTATGTATGTATGTGGGAGCTCTGGTAGCATAGTGGCTAAGACACTTGCCTGCTAACCAGAGAGCTGGCGGTTCAA